TTTATATTTTTTCAACAGGTTACCTTATCTGTGAAAGGACATCCTGGTACTCATTCAAGTAGGAGCAACTTAAAGAAGTAAAATCATGCTTACAATCCGTACAATTTGGGGGGAAATTAAATGTTTGATGTTTTCTATACACAACAAAATCATCGGAAAACAATATACTTTACCCCAACATTGCACCAATTATATGTTTGATTTTACTTCTTTTGGTTGCTCTTAGTTGACGGAGTACCAGGATGTCCTACCACAGAGTAGGTAAGTAACCTGTCGAAAAATGATATAACTTGGATTTAAAAGATGGTAATCTATTGTAATCACATTAAATGTATTTAATTAAATATTGGCATCTTTCAACAGGAAATTCCCATCATAATTCTATACTAGTACTATCTAATATGGCTTCACTGTTAACAAAGATGCTGCAGCCTGCCTGTCCCAGTTTTAAAAGTTTAAAACACATCAAAAGGCTCAAATTGAACTTGATGCTTTGGGGATGTTTGAGTAAATTAATTATGAACTAGTCTCAGCCATGAAAATAGAATTTAATGTTTCATAATGATAATACAGAAACAATCAAGGTATTAAAATCAGTAGTGATTGTCTATTGTCTTCGTTGGTAAAATTTAAACTAGAGGCTCTAAAGAGACTGTGTCGCTCACCTTGGTCTATGTGCATGTTCAACAAAGGACACTCTCCAACATTGTAGACAAGAATAGAACGACAGACGATGCCAGATGCCGGACGCCAAGTGATGAGAAAAACTCACTTGGCCCTTCGGCCCAGGTGAGCTAAATGATGATTAATAAAACAGAAGCTTACTACTTTTCCAAAAGAATGTTATATTATTCTTGTTATTGTTTTAAAGTATTGAATTGCTAAACTTAAAAATTCAAATCAAATTCTTCAATCAAAAGAATTCATACTATTCAAACTCATACTCTCTCTAAAGCATCCTACTGGTATAAAGAATAAGTTCCTGATGTAAACAGAACAAGAGAAATCATTAGAATCCAGAATATTCCAATTCATAAAGTTTGGCCTTTTTAGTTTCTGGACTACCATGACTACTTTTCTCACTACGACATCCTAAAAATATAGTTCCTGATGTAGACAGAGCAAGGGAGCATGGACGTATGATTCCCATGTCACGGAGGTTGAAATAGGTAATAAATTGTCCTTGGTCAGTCAGTATATGTAATAAATGATTTTCCAAATCAGTAAGAACAATATTATCTGAAGGTGTTGTTAGAATTCCTTGAGCTATAAATGGATTACTATCAGTGTTGACATCAGGGTGACCAGTGTAAATTCCTAGAATGTCCCCTCCTTGTGATAACACTACCACTCTACTTCTGTAATCATCATCTAACCAATCCACCACACAGATATTACCATTACTTGTGCTGGTTATGAATTTTGGGTAGGTAAATAGACGTTTGTTATGTTTAGTAATCGTTAGAAATCTTGGCAAAGGAAAGAATCGTTTCTTGTGTTCATATTCCTTCAATTGTTGTCCTTTCAGATCCATAGCAATCACTACACGTCTTCCTGTGGCAGGGAATAGTCTTCCTGGAGACTTGGCTCCTATGATGACTCTGTGATCACTGGTCACATGGATACTGGATGCGGTCAATGGTTTTACATCATACCTGGAATCTGTCATCTGACCTGTCATGGTGTTGATTAATTTGACTTTAGTCTCACCTGTTGTAACAAGAATGTTATTTGAATGACTTTTTGCCACTCCATAAATCATAGTGTTTCGACTTAATATAATTTCAGTTCTATTCTCCTTAAGTTTGACGTGTTGTAACTTTGATTTAAAACCATCCCCCATCCACATAGAACCATCAGAACATACTGCTATAAAGTGAATATGGTTAAGATCAGTTGTATATTCTTTGGATATTTCAAACTTAATCCTACTGGGCTGTTTTGGCGTCATTTCTACCTTGCCTTTAATATAGTCATCTTCTTTGATGAATGCATGTCCATTATGAACTTTGGTGATACATTTAAAACAGATAAGTTTATTACAAGTATCACAGTAAAGACAACAAGACTGACCACAATGATCATCACACTTGACATCACTGAATGCGGTTGTTTTATTTGACCCTTCCTGTTTCCCTATATCTTTTATATCTATAATTCTATGGTCTTTAGCAATCCTTAGATGAATCCTGTCCTTACACTTATTACACATAAGCAAGTCACATGTGATACATTTCCAGAAAATCTTATTTCCAACTTCACATAATTAACATCCAACTGGAATTTGACCTTTTTGTATTGAACTTGCGAACGCCATTTCAAAATTTAAAGATGCCGGACTTTTATACTACCTTTTCTGTTTGCCTCTCACCATGTAACTTTAAACTTCCCTTTTCTACTTGACCCTTAGTTAGGTATAAAAATTTCAATAGCTATTTAAATCTTCCTTGTTTATATCTTCATCTGTATCTTTCCTGTGAGCTTTAATCTCTATATCAATGTAGCTGCCGTTAGGCACTTTAGGCACATATTTTTTTTTTTCACAAATATTTTTATAAAAAGATAATGACAACGTTATCTGTAGATGTACATAAAACTCTTTAATTATCAAGTGCAATTGTTACACTAGTCTATCATTTTTAGTGAATGGAGTATTGGATAGAATTGTAAGTTCATTATCTATGTCTTTCTGATTGAGGATAAATAATACATACGTCAATTGATAGTACATATTGACGATCCTTCATTAAAAAATTGGCCACGTAATCACTGAGACTACTATATAATAATACTATCCTTTTGGCTAGACATCCATCATTCATCTTTTAATTCTTAACACTCCACACAAACACATACACACACACACACACAGTCAATGCCTAATGCAGAAGTTCGGTTCTGTTCATACTACTAGTATCTAACAAAATTCAAGAAATTTAAAATATTTTCTGATATCATGTTTTGTAAAATCCCTACCTGCTTAGGAATTTGAATAATTATGGTCATTACACGTAGATCTGAGAGAACTCGAAATTACTGAAAGCTAGTTGATCAATTGGTTGATACAGGAATGGATATGAAAATACTAAACTTGTGACAGTATGTACTGCTTAATTAAAGGGCTACGCTGATCTACGTTGGACAATGCATATGCAACTTAAAAAAATTTAGATTTCGGATTGTACTGCATTAATTCTTCAGTCAGATGTTATTGAAAAATTATTTATAATTCTTTGAACTTTTGCCCCCCTGAACCCACTAACAGGACTCTGCCCTGGACCTTCTGGGGGCCATAAGTGACCCCCAGACCCCATGCCGCAATTTGTGCCACAGTTTATTGGATACCTAGCTACGCCCCTGATGTCAATACCTATTTGAATCTTCCTTGTCTACATCTACTCTATATCAATGTGAATAGCTATTTAAATCTTCCTTGTTTATATCTAAATCTACATCTTTCCTGGTAACTTATCTCCATATCAATTTCAATAGCTATTTAAATCTTCCTTGTTTATATCTTATCTCTATATCAATGTCAATACCTATTTGAATCTTCCTTGTCTACATCTACTCTATATCAATGTGAATAGCTATTTAAATCTTCCTTGTTTATATCTAAATCTACATCTTTCCTGGTAGCTTATCTCTATATCAAATTCAATAGCTATTTGAATCTTCTATGTTTATATCTACATCTGTATCTTTCCTGGTAGATTATCTCTATATTATTTTCAATAGCTATTTAAATATACTTTGTTTTACATGCTTGTAGCTCCATCAAATAAAAGTTTGGAATGCCTCCCAATTGTTGTCAGCCAACCAAGAATATGGATTCTTATGAAACATACATGTAATGTTATTATTCACTTTTATGTAAATAAGTTGTTGATTAGATTTCTATCTAATCCTGTCATGTCATTTCAAAATTCTTAAATTGGTAAAGTTATAACATATCATAGATAAAGAATAAAATTGCTTAAGAAAGATATACTACAGTCAGCAATTTTTGCACCTCAATGAAACCTCTAAAAATAGATGTTTTCAATTATCATATATGCTTTTCTTATTACTGTAAAATCAGAAAAATGTGAATAAATTATTTGAACCTGTATACAGATACATGTATATGTATTAGATACCAGAATGTGAGTTCTTATTATTGCGATAATCACCAAGTCATATTATTCGCATTAATAAGAATCTTGCAATAATTTCTGAATTAACAGTACCTAATTATGTGTACAAATGAACAATTATTGTAAAAAACACCTTTCATTAATGCCATTGCTTTGTCAAAAATATCTGACCTTTCCTTAATTATAATAAATATAACCAATAATTTAACAATCAAAATTAAAATAATACAGTTTGAAAGGGGAAAATGCCATCTATAGAATTGCTTATTCAAATAGACCCTTCTGGTGTCTGTCCTTTTAAAGCTGCAAGTTCCCTTCCAAAGCTCTATTCTAACTAAGCATGAGGTAGGAAATAAAGAATTTTTTATACTTTGAATTAACCTAAAATATATTTCTGTAATTTAAATAACTTTCTCAAAATATTCACCTGATGTAAACAATGAAAGATGTTGGGTATACATAAATGATAGCATTCCAACAACAAAATAACCATAATTAATAGATATTCATTTATAAAATAAGACGCATTTCATAAGAAAAATGATAGCAATACAGATGAAGGAATAAGTTTTAAAGTAGTATTACAGTATAAAAGCCTGTTAATTGGAATTGTATGTTTGTATTTGGATTTTATTTATTCGAAAACGCTAAAGTGTTATTTTATTGAAATCATATTTGTTTGTAACAAACTAAGTTGTCTTTCCTTGATATTAACCAAAAAGTTTTAATAAAGGGACATAATTCAGTCACTATTAACTTACTTGTCCTGTACAAACCTAAAATATAATTGTAAATACCAAATACCAATTCCTTGTGTGATTTCCACATAAGGAATAACTTCTGATCGATTACATGTATACATACCAGCATCTTTAAAGAGTTTGGCAGCTCTCTCCATACTGGGCCATCCTTTGTTGTCATATCCAAAATGAAATGTCCAAATTGCAGCAGAAAATTCCTTTTCATTCTTCTACAATGTACAAAAGAAATCTATTTCTAAATTCGAAATTAATTTACTTAGATAAAAGATATTCATTTCTATGTATTAAGATATATATTAACTTTTCCATTTGAAGAATTTCTAGAGAATTGTAAGAATTGACTTTTAAAACAAGCATGACCTCTAAAATAAATAAATGTAAAAAATATTGAAAGATAGGACTATCCTATCTATACACCCACAAATGGTAACTGGTATACAATGAGCACTAAATATATATACCAGCTAGTTTTTGCAACTTTTGCTTTTGAAAATAATGAGAATATAAAATATCACAAATATGTCAAACTTGGTTTTTCTTGTACAAAGATTCATGAACAAAGTTAGAAAATAACAAAGATATAAATGGTTGTTAATGCGGCGTTCACACAGTGCCAATTACAGCTCCCGTTTGAGATCAGACATCACTAAGACACGAAAAGTGAAAAAGTCAGATTACTTTCCTGAATGATCTGGAATGTCCTATCATTGTCTAAACGCAGTCGTACATTTTCGTAACAGATTCCTACGAATTGGAAAAGGTCCGTAGAGGTCGGCCAAGCACCCCGACAGTTAGGTGCGTCCCGTAACATTTGGGGAAACTCAGCCGATTTTGTCTAGTCGGATTACAATTGCGACTATGTCGTGACGGATTCTGCTGTATCAGATCAAAATCGTAACAATGTTCTGTCTTTACTGGACGGTGTCCTGTTGAACGGGCATGTTCTGGAGAAATTTGTCATTGCTGTTTTTTTGCTGATTGAGTCCAGATTGCATCCAGATCTCGCCGAATGCGAATCGTCTTTGCCAAAACAGTTCAGGAACAGTCCCGTTATTAATACGAAATTCGGCAATGATACCCACGTCAGAGTCCTGACAATAACAGAACACAATACACCTGAGTCCAGATAAATCCATTTGCAATGCGGTACAGCAGACTGTGTTAGGATTGCGTTCTGACAGTACCTGATCATCCCGAATATGGCGATGTTTTTCTAACGAACATCTTCCGTCAGCATCAATTCACTGTCTATTCACTGTTTCTAACCATGCGAAAGATACAAATCGGATTAGAATCAGATTGAGAACGGGATAATCGGAACAAATTCAGCTGGAAACGGCTGAATTAGGACGCTTCTTGAACAATATCTGATTGTTGCCGTGATTAAATAATGGATTTTACAAATTTTGATTAAAGTTTGAATTTCTAGCCACGATTCACAGTATCTTGATCAGACTTTTAACAAATTTTAATCTGGAATCGTCTTGTTAAGGACGGCTGTAAAAATCGTGAATGTGTGACCCCGGCTTAAGTCTAGAAAGGATTTCATACCAAAAACCTATCTTAAAAAATAAGTTTGTTTACATTACTTCTTTATATAACATGACACAGAACTAAAATCTTTAAATTTGGTAGTATAAGTTATTGTTAGAGCAAACAATGAAAGTAATTATAGTTTCAAAAACGTTTGAAAGTGTAAAAATATGTATAGACTATCAACATGTCAAGAAACTTCATAAATTAAAAATGCCCTTTCCAACTTTAATATAGTGGCCATCTTAATGCAGACTGATTACAGATACAAATGTGTGACTGTAGTTTAAACGGGAAGGTTTACAAAGGTTTCAATGAATTCAAAGAAGTTCAGATTGGATGAGACAGTCTACGTATATATTAATTTACAAAACAAAAAAAAATATCAAGGAAACGGATATCTGTTTAAATGGATTTTTCACCTTTGACAATGTTTAAATTCTGATAACATTTATCAATTTAATACACTATACCTTTACTGGTTGTTTTATTTGATTGTCACTATATCTCATTCCATAACCCAATAGTCCTATACACACTATCAAAACTGTCACTGAAATATATTCATATTATACAATAATTTGTATAGATTTCAAGATTTTCATATAATAATTATAGTTGATTCATAAAAAAAAATTTCTTACAAATATTTAAAAGCCCATACTGGTCATGAATTCTTTTTCTTTATGTCTCATATTTTAGATTATTTTTTTAAATAACATTCATATTTTCATTATATGTATGTAGGAAGAACCAAAACAACCCAACTATTTTAAAATTTTTTTAATAGAGATAATTAATAATTTATAATTCATTTGTACTTCAGTTTACTTGAAATAATGCATTATTGCTATTTTGTGTATTTTTCCTATGATTATATTTTGTAATAATTTTTCATAATAAATTGTCGTCAGAAACTTAGGGCACACACATGCGGTTGTCAATTTAAACATCAATGAGGTCATAGGCAAAATAGGGATAAACAGATTATCAATGGTCTTTCAAACTCTAGGATGTTTCTCGTTTGAAAATAATAATCAATAAGTATTGAAGTTACATGTTAACAAGGTAGATCATGAATTCTTGCATGGTTCACTTAACAAAAAAACTGAAGGATGTTCGCTCCTCTTGTTTTTGAATTTTTGCCAGATATTCGGAATCCTCTGGTTTTATCCATTTAGTGCCATTAAAATTTTTTATTACATTGGTAGCAATGCATTACATTGATTTCCCAGTCAAATAAAAACCGATAATTTCACATGTGAAATAAACGTGGTTATTTCACTCTCTGACATCATACAACAATAGGCGTTGTCAAGACGTCGATAAAGTCGGATCAAAACAAATTGTGAATGCGTAGAAAAAAGATATAGTTCCTTACATTTTCTACATTAATTTCATTAAAAAAAGCCATTTGCCAATGTAATAAAAAGAATAACTAATCAAAGAATTCAAATATCGAAAAATATTCAACTCGTGACCGAACAACACTGATAATTAACTCATGCGCTACACGCATTCGTGAATTAATGTGTTGTTCGGTCACTCGTTGAATATTTTTCTCTATTTGAATTCTTCGATTAGTTATTCTATAATTATTACATTGGTAGCAATGAATTACATTGATTTCCCAGTCAAATAAAAACCGATAATTTCACATGTGAAATAAACGTGTTTATTTCACTCTCTGACGTCAAACAACAATAGGCGTTGTCAAGACGTCGATAACGTCGGATCAAAACAAATTGTGAATGCAGAGAAAAAAGATATAGTTCCTTACATTTTCTACATTAATTTCATTAAAAAAAGCCATTTGCCAATGTAATAAAAAGAATAACTAATCAAAGAATTCAAATATCGAAAAATATTCAACTCGTGACCGTACAACACTGATAATTAACTCATGCGCTACGCGCATTCGTGAATTAATGTGTTGTTCGGTCACTCGTTGAATATTTTTCTCTATTTGAATTCTTCGATTAGTTATTCTATAATTGCCAACTAACCCCTACTTTTCTTTTCATAATTTGATTACATATAGTTTAAAATACCATCTTTGAAAATCTTATTAAATCCTTGTTATTTTTTCATACTATTTGACAGAAAAAAAGTGCCAATGTTAAATGTATGAAAAATCTATAGAGAATCATTTCCCGCCAAATTTTCAATGGCTTATATCTTGAAAACAACCACACGGACCCTTCATTTTTATCTGCTTTTAGAGTTCCTTTATTTATAAACTATCAATTTATAACAGTCTTTTTAAAAGCATGTTATTTTGAAACAGAGTAGCGAACATCCTTAAAGTGTATATCTAAATACACAAACAAATAGTCTAGCAGTTATCTTTTACCATTAGTTTGGAATCACAATAACTAACACAGCATAGAATTTTTGTGGAATTTGTGCCAACAGAGAAAGTATACTTTGGTTTATTTGACAGTAAAAGATGTAAAATCAGCAAATGAAAAAAAACAATGCTTTTCAGTGCACCATCAGAAGATAAACTTCATGTAGGACTATAAAAATGTGGTAATGCTTCATAAAAATTTCAAAGCCATATTTACAAAAGTGAAAGATGTACTGACCTGTTCTTATTTTGTTGAATGGAACCTGTTTCTTGTTGTCACATGGAAATGCTGTATGGCTATTATATTCTCCACCTAGAAAATATAGCAAACAAGAAGCTATAGTTTACAAGTTTAAACAGTATGAAACATAATCATAAAACAATCGGCACACCATAGCCTTTTTCGCTCTGAACTGGCAGTCATCACACTAAAAGTTTATAAAATGTTTTGCCTAATTTGTTTTCCTAATTTCCTAATTCCAAATCTCCTTCGAAATTCCTTAATAAATTTACACTGTTTCAGTAGCTTCAGCAGAGGAGAAAATGTATTGCATTTTTTAACAAGATATTTCATCTTTTATTATCTCTGAGTTTGGTGGTCAACAGACAGAATTATAAAAAGAATAATTAGACAATTTCATTAATATCTGGTCCAAACTGAGTATTGTCATGGGATAAATATAGATTCTACCACTGCATCGAGTGTGATACGATATTTATCCACTCAAGACAGTTAAATTTTCAAATTTAAAACGTGAGGCTCGCCGAGCGTTTTAAATATTTAAAATTTAACTGTCGAGAGTGGATAAATATCGTATCACACGAGATTTGGTGGTGGAATCTGTTTCTCTAATGATTTTCAAACAATACGCAGGCAAATTTATTCCTTCTTTTCGAATGATCTGCAAAAAGATGTGTTCTTTCTATGTGACGTCATCAGGCATGGTCGCCTTTTTTCATGCCGTCACAATAGGAAATTCAGAGGAAAGCAAGAAAATTCGACGTCATAATCGGATTTTAACCAATGAAGAACTGAGATCAAACGAACCACATGTTGATTAAATTTTTTTTATACAATGGGTGCAGAAAGGGATAAATTGACGAAGAATTAGAGAAATTGAAATGTATATTACCTTTATGTTCAGTTTATAGTTATGATATATATTTGGTGGATAATCAGATCTCAGGTTAAACAATTATCTTTAAATTTTGCAAATACTTTATATCATTGAATATATTCCATTCAATGCTTTGGTTTTTCTCTTACAATAGAAGAGAAATTTATTCTACCTACAATGTTAGTTAAACTTGTTAAATGCTGAAACATTAATGCAGTGTTCTCCCCAACATCTTTTATCAAATTGGTAATGCAATGATATTGCTTAAATGTGATGCTATCTGAAATTAATTATTTCTAGATTGAGTGTATGCTATAATTTCTAGAAACTACATGGTATTTCAAAATTTAATGTTTACAAGTGAACTATATGGAATTTGTGGGGAGAAACTGGTTTTGAAAATAAAATTATATCTGCACAAGAAAGAGTGGACATAAGAGGAATTGTTACTATACCTATAAACATTCCTATGAAGATCCCTATCATTACAGCAGCTATGAGGTAGTCTGTATGTTCTCTGGTATATACACCTCCAGGCACAAAATTATACGCTACTGTCCATACAAAGAAAAATATCTGTACCAAATAAGTTACCATGACAACAAACATTGACCTTGCTGGAGGACACAAGGTCATTCTATCAACCAGAACAGGCCATACTGACATTGTGAAAATGGACAGAGCAAGTCCTCCTGTAACAGAATAATAGAAAACAGTTATTTCATTATCAAAACTTTCAATTGCAATTCAACATTTACATGTTTTAAAATAAAAGGTTATCCAAACTTGTCAGCAATATTGCAATATATCAGTTTGATATACTACTCAATCGATTCAATAGGTACCATATTGGTAAAATGTAAAATATGATGATTTGATTTCTGGTGATCATTCATGATTACTTAGATCATGTATGTTGTTCATGTTTATAGATTAAAGGGGCATCACCTGTCAAATTCATGTTCACCGATTTGACTCAAATTCTCACATTTGATTTATAACATACTAAAACTTATATCCAAATTATACAAAGTCTAAAATAAACAATTTACGATGCATGGGCTCTAAAATATGTATAAGCATTTTGTGTGTATTTTAGTCTAGATGCCATCTAATTAACCATTGAGGTGGCCTCCGACATACAAGAAATAGATAACAGGCCACAACCCTAAGGGAATATTAATTTGTGATTAGAGTTACCTACTGTTAATATTTCTATCCCATTGCAAGAATTCTCACAAATTACATGTTTTATTGTTTGGGTACCAATTTTTATGGATTAAGGAAAAATTATATTTTTGTGATTACTTGATTTCGAGGCTTTAGAAAAGTCTGCATATAAGCCTATAGAAAATGTAAACTCTGTTGAACATTTAAATTTGTTGTTCACATGTACACATAAAATCTACGAAAATTAGTTATCCCACATATTATAATGAATACACAGTATTTCCCATGCTTGCATACAAATATTTATCTTTCAGTGCACATCAACCTAAATGGCTAAATGGATTGGTTAAAGAAATCAAAATGCATTAAACCAACCCATAAATCCAATCCATGTTGGAAGGTAATATAATATCAATATTGAAATCAATCCCACAATCCACCAGATCTTTGACATTGTCATCCAGTGCCAGGACATTATCAGTACTCCCAGACCTAAATCTAATAATATAAATGATCTACAACAAAAAGAAACATATTATTTTAAATATATCACAGTGAAATAATTACAATGACAAAGAAAATCAAAATTCAAGTCTGTTCATAAATATGAGGAAAGCCTGTGTACTTAAAAGACTAATTTAACAAGCCACACATTTTCAGATACTTTCATAGTTGTTGCCCGTTTAATTCATTCACAATTTGTATAGACTGACACTGTAGATAATGTAGGAATCATCATATGGTATAGTCTGGTCCCCTTACTTCTTGTTGAAAACTATTTCATGTATTTGTTGTGCAATGTATGTCATTGTATGTTGAGTGTTGAACAGATGTCTCAAATTCTCAATCTATATCCCACATACTCTGTTTATTCATATATGTATCTTAGGAAATTTTCTTTTATGATTTTGTTGAAAAAGATTGCAATCTTTATGCAGATTTTTTAATCATACAAGTTTCTGTTTAAGCCTGTTCATAGTTTGCAGTTAAAACTTTGTTGGATGAAAGAACAAAATTTAAATATTAAAACATTTATCCCATTTTTTATGTATGGTTGATGTTGCTCAATCTTTAGTGTTCCTGAGTGTAGTGTTTTGTAGACAGTAGTTTGTCTGCTCATGTTTATTTTGGTGTTGTCTGTATTTCTTTGATTTACACTTTTTGATTGCCACTTTAGAACCTTCTCCCCATTTGTCTGTGAATCTAATATAGACTTACCCCCAAGGATAAGGTGCAGGTCCATGATCAGGATATCCTTTCACCACCCATCTCAGCACCAAGGATGATTCACCAAAACACCAATGTGTAAGATATAACAAACTTCCAAAACCAATGGCTGTGGGTAACCAATATGGTCGGTCAGTTGTCTTAGATGGAGATTCTTTTACTTCAGATATATCAGAACCTTTAAAAAAGTAAATGAGCTGTAATGAGGTTAGAGTAGATTTACTAGAGGGTTACAGGGAGTAGCTATGTGTATGAAAGAATATATAGTAAAGTTAAAATTTATAATCAGAAAACAGATTTTATTCTTTGCATTCAGAAAATGTTACAAATAAAACACTGCCTTAAAAATATGAAGACATTGAACTCCTTGAACATACTGACGGCTGTTTCACAATATTGTACACAGGGTTGTAACAAATTGAATGAATCAAAGCACCAAGGGCGCTCTAGGCAGTTAATTAAAAAACCCCAAGTCAAACGTGGCAGAAGCTTAAGTTAAGATGAATATTGTGGAAGAATTGGTTTAATTATTTATCTCAGCTATTTCAAGTTAAAAAAATGTTTATACCTTAATGTTTTTTACGCTATCCAATCCTACCATTTTCAAAAGTTATTTCTAATTTATCTTAAATATGTTTCCTTTAAAATGAGCCTTAAATGAAAAATTTTATAGGCCCAGAAATAACTCAAAAAAAAATTAAAGTAAATTCAACCTAGACTTATTTCTTGCATTAATTAAATTCTATAATAAACAAGAAATAATTGTACATTGTTGTAACAGGATACTGTTACGAAGTCTCCCAAACAAAGCTCCTATAATTCGTCATTCCCATGGTTGCCTGACATTGGGCCGAGTCCAGTACAAATTGGTATGGTCAAGTTAAGTGATATGCATATGTCATGTATGTGAAGCCTAGGAGATTGACCCTGTATGTCATTCAAACATTCTTGAGTTGACGAACAGGAATATATATGGTTTAGGGGTGAGGATTTCGACCGTTTTCAAGTTCTCAAAAGGTGGGGGTTGATCCCCAGGGGACTCTCCCTTTATTTCATTTGATTTGTTTTAATGTCCCATACAAGAATATATATAGTTTCGGGGTGGGGATCTTGACTGTTTGCAAATTTTAAAAAAGAAGAGGGGTGGGGTGACCCCCATGGACTAATCCCCTATATTTTATTTTATTTGTTTTATTGTCCCATACAAGAATATATATGGTTTAGGGGTGGGGACTAGGGGATCTCAACTGTTTACAAGTTCTCAAACAGGAGGGATGGGGTGACCCCCCAGGGGCTCCCCTATATTTAATTTGATTTGTTTTATTGTTCCATACAAGAATATGTATGGTTTAGGGGTGGGGATTTCGACCGTTAACAAGTTCTCAAACAGGAGGGGGTGGGGTTGACCCCCCGTGGACTCCCCCTATATTTCATTTTATTTGTTTTATTGTACCGTACAAGAATATGTATGGTTTAGGGGTGGGGATCTCGACCATTAACAAGTTCTCAAACAGGAGGGGGTGGAGTTGACCCCCTGTGGACTCCTCCTATATTTCATTTTATTTGTTTTATTGTACCATACAAGACTATGGATGGTTAAGGGGTGGGGATCTCAACCGTTAACAAGTTCTTAACAGAAGGGGATGGGGTTGACCCCCAGGGATTCCCCCTATAGTTCATTTGATTTGTTATATTGTCCCATACATGAATATATATTGTTTAGGGGTGGGGATCTCGACCATTTACAAGTTTTCAAACAGAAGGGGTGGGGGCGACACCTGGGACTCCCCCAAATTATTTTCATTTGATTTGTTTTATTGTCCCATACAAGTATATATATGGTTTAGGGGTGGGGATCGCGACCGTTTACAAGATAAAACACATTTTCAAATTGAAGGGGGTGGGATGACCCCCAGGTACTCACCCTATATTTTATTTGGTTTGTTCTATTGTCCTGTTATCATTACTGAAGGTCGTGTGTGTCTATCACTTACTGTTTTCAAGTAAAAGTCATTTCAAAATTGAAAAAAATAAAATCCAATAGGGTTCTATAGTAAACCCCTCCCTTATTTAGGCCCCTCAAAATACCCCTAAATAGACCCCAATGCACAAACGAAAGATTGATAACTCCGCTAGACATGTTAGTCCAACATTTAATGAAACCCTAAGTAAATCTGACAAGTGGTCCGAGTTGTCTTCTAAGACGGTCAGAGTGGACTCGGTCCGACTTGTCTCGAGGACGAGTTGTCCACATTTCTTAAAACATCCCATCAACGTCGATTTTCGGATCTTTTTCATTCATAAAAACATTAACAACTGACAAGGTCAGTGGTAAACGGGATAATATAATAAAAGAAAGGAATTTAAATGTGCATACATTCAATTGAAATAAATAAAATAATCACAATCTTCTTACACGAAAAGAACATCATTATGAACTAAACTTACTTTAAAACATCAGAATACTTACCTTACGTTTTGTGTAAGTTAAAATTTCCGCCAACTTAGACTACTACATATAACTTTATTTCCTCTATCATAGAGATTTGGTGTACATGAACAATATTCCTGCACCTTTTGCCATTTGGGAAGTGTAAACGACTTGTAATTAAGAGATTTTCGGGGATGAAATATTTCATACAATTGTTCTTTGACATCTTAGCCAAAAGCACATGGGATGATAAACTACGTACAGATTTCTATTGAGCACTACTTACTATGTGCAACTTCAAAAGTTTTGGGTAGTTCGACGATCATTTAAGGTTTTTCTGGTCATATTTTTTGTATTCCAGAATTGAAAGTATGAAAAAAGTGCCTAATTAGTTATTAATAACATATTAGCCAGCTAGATAATAACAATAACACTTTTTACACCATTTAGTGGGAAGAACACAAATCTAGGGTGGTAGCATACATTGGCATAAGGCAGCTGAACTGCCTAAAAATCAACTCGAATATTGCCTATAAATTGACAATTTTTCTGAGAGAGATATGTCTCTAGAAGGAAATTCTAGAAGATCTTTGTGTGACCTCTTCTGGTTTTCCTGTGCTGAGTAAAAATATGGAAGCACACAGATGCTCTTTTTCATTGCTCAGAAGCATTGTTATGCTTAAAATTTGAAAGATTACATCAATATAAATAATTTGTTTTGTATAAAATAAGAAGTATTCAAACTTACGTTGTCACTACACATTGAATATTAAAAGGAAAACCTTTTTAGTTGAAAACTTCATCAATAATTAAAAATTTTTAGAGGTCTGTAAAGAAGCTTGAAAACATTGCGGACATCTACATTTTTTTTTAATGTAACAATTTTATTGTGCAGCTTGAATGTTCAAAAACAGATCCATAGTTTTCAGTATTAATTTATCTTTAGTACCTATAAAATATGTGGTTATTTCAGAAGAAAGTTTCTCTTGACCAAACTAAATATAAGATATATGTGACCCATGTGTAACACTTACTTTTATTTTTAACCTAATCATCAAGTACTAGGTACCTGAACTGGTGATAGTCACAAAAGATGATGGAAATGTTTGATCAATCAACTTAAGTTAAGATTTAAATCAATTTTTAAAAGGTGAAAATGTTGTGAATTACATTATCAAATTGAATGCAGTACTGATATGTTAAATGTGTGAATGGTCAGATGATGGTAGTGTCCGCAACACACTAAATTATAGTTAAATGTAACTTTACAATGAAATTAAAGCAAGAAGCTTAGCTCAAGTCTGAATTAACTAATTAAAGATGAATATAATAGGAAAACAAATATTGATAAAACAATATCTATATATTTTGATTGTTTTTAGTCAATCGAAACAGTATTTGTGTATGTTATGTTGCATTTTTTATTTTTCATTGTAAGATTTCTACTTCCATTAAATTATAATCAAGTGTAATACTTTCAATTGAAAGATATTCAACCATCTTTGGCTGAAATTGAGGAAAAGCAATGTTAAAAAAAACCAAACTGATCAGAAGTGTTGCGGACACTACAGAGTTGCAGACTCTACAGTTCAGTAAAAATTTGATGCTGGAAAGTCTTGGCAATATAGAAACTCATCACTAATAGGTAAATATCTACACAGTGAAGGGACCTATTCACACACAAAACAGTATTTTAACTGCTGCAATAGTTCCCCAGATTTCACAGTGTTGTGGACACTACAAAAAAAGCATCCCCACAACAATCTTGAAAAAAAAGAATAAATATGACAATTTCTATAATCATATGTGATGTAAAAGTATTTTTTTTAGCTTGAATTTGAACGTATACATTATTTAACATATTAAATAGTTATTTGATGGAAATATGATTAACAATTTTTTTTCCTGTTGATTATTAAGCAAGACATGGTGTTTTATTTATAAAATGCATAACAAAGGTGTCGATCACTTAATTTTTTCATAATTTTGCCAATTTTTGTGCTATTTTAATTTGGCAAAGTGCAAAATTAAGCTGAGTCTGATAGATTTTTTTTGAAACATTTGATACCTGACATTTTTTTATCACTTTATATATTTTAAACAATTCAAACTTGCCTCTTTTTACAATGTTACAGCATAATGTAAAAAAATCCTCTGTTAGAGCCCATAAAATATTGATTTTAAAACATGAATCTCAACATAGAGTATCATATATCATTGTAAAGATAAAAGCTTCAACAGACATTATTTTTCCATCATTTTTAAACCTAAACAGACATATTTTCATGCCATTTCATGCATATAACAAAAATTGTGAAGGCTGGGTAAAATATTGTGAAACAGCCGTGAATAAAAAGGTACATGTTAACTAATACATTATCTTTCTGTTTTGTAAATTTCTCTTAGATGTACATTCCAGATATGTGTCAAACAAGAGGAGCTATGCATATACTACTATACTTTACTATTCTTGAAGTTAAGCAAAAAGGGTTTGTCTTAACTTTTAGGAAACAGATTTTTTTTAATTTTCTTAATTTTGATCTCTGTATTTAGATATTCAGCTTTCATAAATAATGCATGTAGTTAAGTTAATTTAATATTGAGTATCACGAACAATGTCTAAAATAATACAAACCTGAGATAATATGGTCTAATGCTGCTATAGCACCAATACCTATCACAATAGAGTTTGTCTGGTTACTCCACCATGTTGGCACAAAAGAAACAAACCATACTCTACTGGTTACAAAGGACATAAAACCTAAAATTATTCCCCAAAATGTGTGGCACCTGAAATTAAAACTTTGATTATTAAAATGTAAATAATAACAGTAAATTTGATGTGAATTCTGTTTATCATAGATATAAGAAGATGTGGTATGAGTGCCAATGAGACAACTCTCCATTCAAGTCACAATTTGTAAAAAGTAAACCATGTTTATATGTATCCTTTCTGCTAAATACATCTATTTCTCATTTAACTACTATTTAAATACTTAGATTAATATACTGCAATATTTTTGTGTGTCTCACTATCTCTGGAAAATTGATTACTACAAGAATAAATAAATTGTAACTTGAAGGTTTTTTCAGTTGTAAATATTTAGCTACTCTGACCATGCTGACAACATAAAAAAATCAAATGGTCGTCCCCTTATTCTTCTTACATGTACATATGAAATTTAATTTTTGGAAACAAACGATGTCAGCTGAGCATAAAAATATACCAATGATATTTTGTCACAAAAATTCAAGCTTGAGTTTTATAGTTTGCATTTTTTAAAATTTATATACTGTTGTACTCGAGTAAAAGTCGATCTGACTATAAGTTGGATGCCCTGATCAATTTCAAAATCTAAGGATTCAGCCTTGACCTTCGTATAAGTCGGTAAAAATTTGGGCCATTTTTTTTTCAGCAGACATTAACTGACGGCTGGTAAAATCAATGCAAAATCCAGAAATAGATGTTTGTTTATTTTAATTTAATTGATGTTCATCATGATTATTTATAATGCTCTTAATAATAAAGACAGGTGAACATTGGTGAATGGGACGACCAAATAATTACAAATGAATTACAATTTACAAACATACCTTATTCTCGAGTCTTTACTCCACAGTGTTACAGTAAAAACTAACATAGCTGCACCTGTTCCAAGTGCTAGTATAGCCAGTCTTATCAATGTAGTACTGGCTTGGAACGATGCAAGGCTTCCAACAGTTGCCAAGCGAAGTATACCTAACATCCATCTATTCTGCAGAAGTTTAAGAACACCTGGTATTCCAACAAGAACTGGTGCAAAAAATGTGACAGCAAATATCTCATATCCAGATAACTCTAACTCATTCAGTGGATAAAACCATATCATAGGTCCAAGACCTTGGAATAAGGACCAAAATACATATCCTAAAATAAAAAGAATAATACATGTATATCACATATCTTTGAAATTAATTAAAAAAACTTTAAAACAAATGTAAAACATGTAAAATGAATGTAAACATCTTATGTATTTTTATATTTTAACCTAAATTTTATTTGAATATATATATATATACATATAGGCATTGCTAGGGTTCCATATTAGTAATTAAAATTAAAATGAAACACCTCAAAATGAATGTGTAGTAAACTGAGTCAGGTCTTTGATTGTATGATTGTTTTTGTTAAGTTAAGTCACAACTTTTGTAGACTCTGGGGTATTTATAGCTTGGTATATTTTATAAACACATATTTACTGTTGTAGAGTGCATGTTTTTCTCTAGATGTCTTTTGGTTATATTTGTTATGGGTTGCTGTCTCAATTTGATATTTTACCCCACATCTCCTTGTAATTTTTTATAATGATCACTAAACAAATTGAAATTCTTCATTCAAATAGTTTCATTTGTAATTGATATACATGAATTGACTTCCAATTAAGGAATTAACAAAATGAGGCATATCTCTTAGTCTAAAAGGAAGGTATTTTGCATTTGATGCAAATGTTTTCTAACTTGCAATAAAAATTTGATGCTGGCCAAATATTGTTTTCTGGCAACAGTTTTTTTTAGACATACATGTGTAGAGGCGATCAAATTTCTTGATCATGTCTGCTGATGGTGTTCTTAGATTAAATTAGAACAAAGGAGGGTGTTAAAGAAAAAAATTAAAGATACAATGTAGCTCTTCATCTAGCCTTCAAAAGCATTTGGACAAATGGCAACTGGTCATGCTGGTACTCAACCAGTATGAGTAGACTGGAAATAAATCACAGCCTTTGTTGTAACTCTTCTGGTTACCATAAATGGATCATAAACTGTTAATTTGGCATCATATGTAAGAGCTGATGTGAAAATTGTTGCTTAGAGAATCATATTCTTCAGCATCATCAAAATTGTTTTAGCAAATTGGTTTCATGCATGCAATGTATGTATTTTTTAATTTTTACACCAATGTATATATATATATATTTTTATGGTTTATATTATATTTTTTGTTGAGGAATACTTTTTACCGATATTTTATAGTGTGTTTGAGATATGTAGTCACCAGATGGCATCAATTAGTAGTTTCCTTATCAGTAAATATATCAGACACACCAGTCTTTTTGATGTCTGAGGTTTTTAGCCGTTCCCCTTTTGGTTTTCCAAGATCCTTTACCATAGGATTTTCAGCATTTCTCTGTCATATAGCTGTTTGAATTCCAACTCTGTCTTTAAAGGTTTCCTGTGCAGCTTCCAGGGTGAAATTTAGTTTGTACTCTTTTAGATTTAAGGATGAGAAATGAAGGCTAGGTCATGTAGGTGAGCATGGTGAGTGTGCATTTTGAATGTGTTAGCGTGTTTTATAATAGTCCAAATAATTATGACGTCTTAAAAGGTTATTTTATTTTTTTGCTGTGACATAGGAAGGCGTCACTGCAAAAAATAAAATAGCCTTTCAAAACCTCATAATTATTTGGACTAGTTTATAACATTGTATTTATTGATCATGTTGATGTTATGGGGAAGGTAAACTCTCTGCTAGTAAAACCGGTCAGTTAGGCTGTTGAAACGAATAGATGCTCATATTAATTGGTGCTGATAAAGTTAGTCCAAGTAATTATAACGTCTGGAACATGTTGAAAGGCTACTTTATTTGTTTTTGCTGTGACGTTTTCCTTTGTCGTAGGAATGTGTCACAACAAAATATAAGTAGTAGGAAGCCGTCACATCAAAAATTAAAATAGCCTTTCAAAACGTCATAATTATTTGGACTACGATAAAGTACATGCAAAATATTTTCCCGTCACCATATCTCATGCCATGGGGTCTCCTTAGAGGAAGCAAGTTAACTCGTACCATTGTAAACTCGTACCATGTAAACTCGTACCAAAAAAGTTAACTCGTATCAACGTAAACTCGTACCACTGGGAAGTCGTACCATTCAGAACTCGTACCACTGCAAACTCGTACCATTAAAAATATATTCAAAAATACGAATGTTTTATGATTTTTTTTTGTAATCTTAATAAAAAAGTTGAATTACTTGAATTTTATACCAGATTTTAATGAAAACTTAGACAAAAATACGAATGTAATTCCTTAATTACCATGCTAATTGATATATTAAATTCCTTTGATTGTATGATTATTGGGTTATTATTAACTAGTCAACTTGTTAATCATATTATTAAATTTTGATTGTTGTTATATAATTTAACAGCTTGGAATTAAAAGCCACACGAACCCCACTTGAAACTGAGGGTGATCTCAGGTGCCTTTTCAGATATCAGTTATTTTCCTCTGTTGCTGGAGCGAGGTGTATCTTCGGCTACAGGTGTTATACATGTATATAAATCGGGAAAATTATAATGACCTTTTGATTATATGAATTAAAACATGGTCTTAATCATGATTTTGTGCAACAATGAGCTGAATATTGTATAAAAATAAATTTCATACTTTCTAACTGTTGGTCATAACCAATTTTAAACCTTTAAAACACAAGAAATAAATTCTCTCATTAAATAAAATTCCTTTTAGAAACAATAGAAAAATACCCAAATCTATTCAATGTTACTTATTTGGAATGATTAAAAATTAAATCAAATAGTTGTCAGTAAAAGTAAAAAAAAGGGTCTGTTCAAGGGAGACAACAAAGCCAATCTGCCACGGTTTTCTCTATCCAATTAGACAAGGAAAATTAGCATAAATTGGTCAGTGTAATTTCAGATTATATACATTTTACAGACTTAAGAGGTATTGAGTGAAATTAAACTATATATTCATCATTAAACACCATTTGAATACATTTAAATAAGTTGGTACGAGTTTACAATGGTATGAATTTACCGTGGTACGAGTTAGCATTGGTACGAGTTTGCATTGGTACGAGTTTTTTTTTACTGGTACGAGTTGACATTGGTACGAGTTTACAATGGTACGAGATAACTATAATTCTCCTTAGAAACGTTATAAAGTAGTCTTACAGAGCATACAAATATACGAAAGAAAGTTCAATATGTAATGTTTCTAAATTCTGAATACCTTGTACACATTCCCTAACTAAAGTTCTAGTTTCAATCATGTTAAAAGGGAGAGTTACTTTATTTCAAAGCTTCATTTCACCGGAAAATCCTACTTGCATTTTGTATTTTACCACAAATTTTAGTCTTGGTCAATGAAAAGCTTTTGTGACTTCTTTCGAAGAAGAATGTTCCTCTTTGGAACCAATTTTAGAAATAGCCAAATCCCAAAGCTAGTCGTAAACAATAATATGACTTCGTCCCCTTTCACAGGTAATGCCTGCCTCATATTATGATGCAGGCATTACCTGTGAAAGGGGACGAAGTCTATATAAATTATTTTTTTTTAATTCAAACATATTTTAAGTTCTAAATCGTTTAAAAAAGAAACGGAAATACCGTATCGTTTCCGATTTTGGTTCTGTTGTTAGGGATTTTAGTTGTGACGTTATTTTAGTTATGACGTCATATTCAATGTAAACAAAGAAACGCTATCATCAGGTAACGTTTTTTCATATCAAAGAATAATTAGAAATGAAATTGTTATTGTGTTCCTTCCTATATTTTACTGGACTGATAACTATATATTTCACTCAAAGTCTCATGACAAACGAGACCGGAAGAAGGAAGCAGATTTCTGCGCAAATGCGGGAATTAAAAAAGTTACAAAAAAAAAGTTAACGCTTTTGAGTTCAATTGTACAATGAAAATTTCGGGAAATTTTCCCGAATTTTTTTTTTTTTATTGATTTTTCTACTGTAATAGGGGACTTCGTCCCCTTAATATACAGCCATATCTCCATTAATATCAAGAAATTGCTCTGCAGTATTGAAATGAAACTATGTTATTAACGATATATAATAACATCAATGATACAAATTTTACCGCATCAGATGAAAATTTCGCCAATAGATGTCATTTTATTGATACAACGAATTCCAAAAATTAGGTAAGTTATGGTGCGTTGTTAGTACAAACTTAAATTTGAATTATTAGTTGTAATTTGAAGATAATATCTGGATACAATCTGGCTGGACCTGCATCCGATGAATTAAACAAACATTATTGAGATCGTGAGTTTCACAACAACTTCCGGTGAAAATGGATCTGATGTTGATATTTTCCTTAACATGTGTCGCTATTTTCATCATTATTTTACTGGTAAACGTCAATTTTCTAATGTCAATTGTCAATTCTACATTTAAATTAAAAGGCCAATGTAAAGTAATGGTGTGTGGATTTATTCTTAGGCCGTTTAGACTCAGAATTAAATCAATCTGCCAAATCTTTTCCGATGTCCGATACCGGCTGTGCCAACGACTGTTACGACAGATTTTATTTCTGGCATTGAAAAAGGAACATTGACAGGGAAGGGATTACAAATACCCTAAAGATGTAAAATACGTATTTTTAAGATACAAATCCTGTCATTCCCTGTAGTGTAGAGTGTAGTCGGTATGATTTTTGAGGACAGTCGTTGTTGCATCAGAAATTTTACACCGGTCTTATTTTGTGTGTGTTTTTTTTTAATACAAAAATGATATACACTCTGTTTATTAATATGAGAAAGTTATTACCTGTGAAAAAGGGTGAAGTCTGTAATATGAGGCAGGCATTACCTGTGAAAGGGGACGAAGTCTGTATGAATTATTTTTTTTTAATTCAAACATATTTTAGGGTGCAGGTCGTTTCGTAACCTGGTCGTTTCGTAACTAGTCGATTCGTAACTTAACTAGGTCGTTTCGTACCTGAGACGTTTTGTAACCTTTTATCAATATATAATAACAATAAGATTAGTAGGTTACGTAAAAAGTAATAAAAAGACTTAGTGATGTATGTGTATATATATATCTATATTTATTTATTAAATAATTGATTGCACATAAATTTACACTTTACAAGTACAGTTTTGCACACATGCAATTAAAACAGAAGAATTTGAATTGTCCATCATCATTTAGATGTACCCCGTCTTTATCAAAGTATTTAGTCTTCTGCCACGATCACAAGTACTTTGGGCTTATTTACTGTTAGTGACATATATGGCGTTTATAGATGAATGAAAAAGGAGTAAAAAAAAAACTGCTATTATACCATTAAGTGAACACTTGTCACTTACATTTATTTAATTTAACCACGCCTAATAATTTATCAATTTAATTCAAATTAAATTTATTCAAAATATTTCACTACTGATTGCTTTTTTGTGTAGTTATTAAACATATATCAGAAATTTTCTCATTCTGGGATAAATACACTCAAAACCAGATGTCCAGTAGTACATTATTAAGGAGGTGTGCTTTTGTTTACGGACCAACTGCTGCTGCTGCTCCGGCCCACTAAGACTTTGTTTCATGTTTATACCAGGTTTTTTCGGATGAAAAATCAGGCTTTATGCCAGTATAAGCATGCAAACAAAGGACAACATAGTGATGTATCTGAAAGAAAGAAAAAGAACAGAGTAAGATAAAGTGTTCTTTAAAAAAAACCAAAAAACTTTAACTCCGCCAACGCCGGTCGTGTGCCATAGGTCGTGTGCCATTAATCTACTTAATCACTTTACACCTACTGTAATTACTTTTTATTACCTGTCATTAGTTGTCATAAAACCATTAAAGCTGTCACCGAGCGTAATTACAAATTAACCAATTAGCCAATAATTAAAAAGATTTCAGAAAATTTTAAGTTAAAAATATTACAATATTGTTATTATTAGATGAACAATTGTATCATTTTTAAATAATAACTTTAACTTTTTCATTTAAACTAATTAATTTAAACTAACACTTTATAACCATATATAATATTATGACTGGGTATTGATTGTTTTGATGAATACTGTGATATGTAAATATTTGTCAATCAATATGTGACACTATAATAAAATAAATATTTTATAATTACAAAAGGTACGAAACGTCTCAGTTACAAAACAACGTAGTTACGAATCGACCAGGTACGAAACGACCAGGTTACGAAACGACGTGCATTCATATTTTAACTTCAAAATCTGTTCAAAAAAGAAATGGAAATACCCTTACGTTTCCGATTTCGGTTCTGTTGTTTGGAATTTTAGTTGTGACGTTATTTATGTTATATTCAAGATAACGTTTTTTCATATCAAGCCATTCAAGGAATTATTAAAAATGGAATTGGTATTGCGTTCCTTCCTATATTTTACTAGACTGATAAATATATATTTTACTCAAAGACTCATGCAAATGAGACCGGAAAAAGGAAGTAGATTTCTGCGCAAATGCGGGAAAATAAAAAAGTTAACGATTTTGAGTTCATTAGTAAAATGAAAATTTCGGGAAATTTTCCCGATTTTTTTTTTTTTTTTTTTATTGATTTTTCTACCGTAATAGGGGACTTCGTCCCCTTATTACAAATTAAATTTTCATTGTATTGTTGATTTTCTTTTTTTTTTGGTAATCTATTATCACATACATGTATTAATTTAGCTGTGGAAATGTAGCTCTTACATTTTGTAGGTCCTTATGATGATAAGGATCTAAGAGCTACCATTCCACAGCTAATCAGATTATAAATCTGTGTGACATGGTATAACTTACAGCATGGCAGCGTTCGTCAACAGAACATGAACAGGGTAATGTGCAAGTGTAACTGTTAGCAAAAAAATGTTAAAGATGTTGAGCTCATTAGCATATTGATTTTACTGCTGTTATTGAGGACTTCGTCCTCATATTAAATTAATTGCCAATTCCTGTAATCAAAATCAACTCTGAACGCAAATGCTAATGTCAGGCATGATGTTGAGGGTTTACAGTTGTAAATGTCAGGCTGTTGAAATTTGAAGATACTCAAAATAATGAGTGCAGATATTGTTTATGACTTTTCCTTTTTCAAACATATATATGTAGATCGCAGCATAGATAAGTCTAAATTTCTTTTTTTAATCGTAGGTCTCAATTTTATGTGACAGGATTGCTTCCCTTGAATAGTAGAAACTTGGTCATCCGTAAGAGTTTGAGCTAGTGAAGTACTGTACTTCTTTAGCTTAGTCGGTTAGAGTGTAACACAGAGGTCCTGGGTTGAAGACAATGTGATTTTATAATAAGAATCATGCTCTCCAGTTACACATTCTATGAGGGTTATCTCAACAGCCAATTGGATCAAAAAGCATAAATGTCACATATTATTTTTGTTTTGCACCATCTGCTTTTATGTTTATTTCCTAAAAATTATGTACTGAAAAGACATTGATCACTTAAAACATTAAAGCCTTTATTGTAAGTGTTTGTACATAATCATGATAGTGTAGCAAACATTTTTAATATTTAGAGGTTTTGTTATGCAATATAAAAAGTAAAATCACAAAAATACTGAACTCCGAGGAAAATACAAAAAGGAAAGTCCCTAATCAAATGGCAAAACTAAAAGCTCAAACACATCAAACAAATGGATAACAACTGTCATATTCCTGACTTGGTACAGGCATTTTCTTATGTAGAAAATGGTGGATTGAACCTGGTTTTATAGCTAGCTAAACCTCTCACTTGTATGACAGTCGCATCAAATTCCATTATAATGACAACGATGCGTGAACAAAACAAACAGACACAATGTGTAAAAATGTCAAAAATAGGGGTACAGCAGTCAACATTGTGTTATCATCTTAATCACTATAAAAACAAACAAATGTAACGATGAAGCACAATAAGGCATACATCAAATTTAACATCCTCATTTTGCTTTTTTATTATACGATTTTAAAATTGCGCGTTTGAAATTCACACAGGTAGACATAAAATAATTTTGTCGTTCAAAGTATGACGGGAGTATTAGCATGATTAGCAAGCATTAATAATGCTCGTATGTCTCAATGAACTTCAGAAGCAGAACAATCATGATAGTATAGACTTTTTTTTAGTATAACTCTTTCTTTTGTTAGTTTTGTGATTTTTATTAATTTTTTTTACCAATCATGAAATATATTTACTTTTTTTAAAATATTTTTACCAAATGTGTATTTTTTTATCATATTTTTTACACTTGTTGTATAATGTAAATTCATGTCTTATTCAATGCATTTTCCAATATACTTGTTGCATATGTTGATCAAAATACAAGCATAGAAGATCAGTCACAGGTTATCATGGTTATGAAATCTCAAAAGTTTCTGCTGACAGATAATTATGCAATCACAAATTTAAATGCAAGTTCTATTTAATGTGTTATAATGTTATCTCACATTCTTTGCAATCTTGAAAAAAACCTTTGCATATATTTTTGAATTTACTGTACTTTGAACTTAAATATTTTATTGTAGGGTTTAGTGATGCTACTTGTTACAAGTGAAACCTATCCAAATCTTGGAAGATTTGACAGTGAGAAAGTTTTTACTGATCCTAAAAAAGATGGAAAGGAAGAATTCCCAAGTATTCATGATCCTCCCAGTGTAGATTTGTCTGTTATTGTACCTGCCTACAATGAGCAAGACAGATGTAAGAATAAAATTATATATCATAGATTGTTCTATTCAGTAAAATTATTTTAAAGATTGAAAGAAAGTAGTACTATCTTATTATCTACTAGACTAAAGTTAAGATAAACTTAAACCTGTCAGAAAATTTTATATTTGACACAATCATTTAGTATGTACTGCACTACTTGTGTACATGTGGAGAGTTGTCTCATTGGCAATCAAACCACATCTTCTTATTTTTATATGTACATGGCGTATGCAAAAAGATATTGATATAATTTAGATTTTATTTTTTTAAATGAATTGTTTTAACATTGATGATGTACCATATATTTTTCTTTTGCTAACAGTACCCACAATGATGGATGAAGCTTTGGAGTATTTAGAAAAGAGACAAGTAAGTTTTATATAAACAACCATTTTTAATATCAGGCTTGTTTGACAAAATTGTGGATTTTTATTTGTCTATGTACATGTGATGTAGAGGCCTAGGCCTATGTAGGCATATATTATGTTATGAACAAAACAATACAAGATACATTTGTACAAATAAAAAGAGATGTAAGTTTATATGTTAATGGGAAATAAACTCAGTTACACAAAAGATGTCTAAAGGTCGAAGAAGAAACTTAAATTATTGACCACTGTCATTATGAACCAGCTTCTGTTAAGGTAATCTAATTCTTTGAATTCATGCACTAGAAAAATCTCTTCAAAACTACTGAACCTGTCATAATAATCCAGTTTATGTCATTTTTAGTCAATTTTTATGTAATTATGCCATCTGTTGTCTAAAATTCAATCTGGTTAAATATTCATAATATTTGAAAGTCTCCGCAGTTAGGTTTTTACACATTATTATCAATTATATTAGCAAAGTTCTGATGATTGTGTAATGCTAGTATTTAGGCCAAATTGTGTAATGCTCTTGTATTTAGGCCAAATAAGACCTTTAAAGCACCTTCTCCTTTTCAATGTTTTAAGATGCATAAATGTCATTTTATTTCATTTTCAGACAGAGTCACCATCATTTACATATGAAATCATCATTGTTGATGATGGTAGTTCAGATAAAACTTCAGAAGTAAGTACATATGCCATATGAGTTTTGCTCATTGTTGAAGGTTGTACAGTGACTTATAGTTGTTAACTTCTTTGTCGTTTGATCTCTGGTTAAGAGTTGTGTCATTGGCAATCATACCACATCTTCTTGTTTCTATACATAGCTATAAGTCATAAAGGTTTTGAATTGTTCTAATATTAAATTTTTTGGGGATACAGGTTGTTTTTATTATTTTCCTTTGTCTGGCAAATGTCTAGTATAATTTATTAAGTATAAATCGTTTGCAGACTTACATCAAACAATGATGTTGTTTTAGCAAAAATTGAGTGACAACAATTGGGTATATTGAAAATATATTTTTCATACTAAATGATTTCTCATTGTTACTGATATTTATCATCACATTTATGACATTTGAAAATAATTTAAAGAAATTGCATATCTTTTTCTGATTAAATTAGTTTTAGAGTTACTAAATCTTTCCAATTAACTTGGCCAAAAATATGTACATGGATCTGTATTCATGTACATGATATTGTACAATGTTTTGGCTGCAGGGCATATAAAAATAAAGTTTATGCAACAAATCACTTCCTCTTAGACTGTCACATTCAAATGTCATTAAATATTTCCTTGTACCACTTTTTTTCAAAAGAATTCTAACTTTATAAAAAAAAATATTGACAAATGATCCAAAAATCTACTGAAAATTGAATAATTGTTTAATTGCAGATGTATATTGATTTATCAAGTCTTAAAGTGATTTCTATAAAAAAAATATAGGATAACAGATTTTTCTTTTATATTAATAAAATAGTTTCAAACATCAGTTTTTTTTTTACATGAACAGATAGTTTGTTTAGCATCACTAATTGTTTTATTAAATACTGTAAGTTCAGAAATTATTGCGTACATTTATTATTGCGATTTTGTCATTTTAGACTAAAATGCGATTTTAAATTTTGCAATATTGAGAAAAATCCTGTTTAATTCATATAAAAAATTTCAAAATGCGAGTTTAAATTATTGCGATTATAACCCTGTCGCATTTTTCCCAATAATAAAACATCACAATAATTTCTGAATTTACAGTACACAATTCTTACAACTGTAAATTTTTAGTATTTTTCACTGTTGATCACATATTTTAAAAATGATTTTATTCTGTTTATGTATTTGCCAGATTAAATGCCAAAAGATTTTTATGGTCCATTAATAGTTTGTTATGAATGCAGGGAACAGTACATTTTAATTGATTTATAAATCATATTATGCATTCATGTATATTGATCTGTCTACTCCATATTTCTAATAATAAAAAAATTAAAAAGGATAACTTTCATCACCAAAAATACAGTCTTTTACAAACAAACACACTGGTTCTTTTATCTGTATAATTGTAAGAATAAAACTAAGTCATTCTTTCAGAAAATATAAAAAAAAAATGTTTATTATAGACAGGTTTGACTTATTCCAAGAAGTGCGGTACAGATAAAGTTAGAGTTCTAACATTAGAGAAAAACAGAGGCAAAGGTGGAGCCATTAGATTGGTTTGTATAACATCAGGAATTTTCAAGAGGCTGAAAAAAGATCTTGCTTTTAATTTTTGTTTAAACGACTGTGTTGTGTTTACCATAGAAGAAAATTGATGTAATCTTTTGGTTTTTAGTAATAACAGTAATAGGTCATGAGAGTCTCTTCCCTAGTTTCACTCCAAAGTTCAATTAATATTTCATGTATTCAAATCTTATTTCATGGCGATGCACCTATCTCAATGATATGACTGAGATTATTTTGCAAACCTTTTGGACCCATATCCCAATCTGCCATTTCGGACAATTGCCTTTCAGTTTGATCATGTCTGGCAAATATGACAGTTTCCGGAACCCTGTAAGGGACTGTTAATTATAAATACTTTAATTGGATGTTAAAAATTCAAATGCATTACAAATTAACATTAATTTTTTATCCATTGAGCTTTTGTGTTATTTTAAAAACAATCTGCTTCAAAATAGGGTTGCTATCACATGATGAGTAGCCCACATCTCCTTTTATTCATATCACACAATGAATAACCACTGATAAAAACTAGTTGATACATATCTCCAATTGATCACAATATGAAGAGGGTGGTAAAGGGTTATTCGTGCAATGTGTTTTGCCATTTTTGCCGTGAAAAAGGTTCGTTATTCACAGTGTTTCGTGAAATCGGTAAAAAGATCAACGTGCAAGAAATTTTTATTTGTTCCTTCATCGTGAAATGGCAATTTTATTTCGCATTCTTTCGTGCAGATACCCCCCTTTACGCCCCTCTATGAATATGATGAAATCAAATCATGTGAAAAGTGTCACAGATTTCTTTAGAAAATGTGATGTTTAAATGGAAAAGTCATTTGACTATTTACTGTAATTAAAGAAAAAAAATCTAAATCATTAAATACTTGAATTTATGGAATCTAAGAAAACTATTAGTTGAACAAGATTTAATACTGCAGTTTACAGTCCATTTAGTAATTGAATTGGAAAACAAGTCAAATTTATTCTGCCTTGAAATATTTTATATCCCCATTTACTTTGATTTTTTAGGGTATGTTTGTAGCTAGGGGTAAACTATTATTATTTGCTGATGCTGATGGAGCCAGTCAGTTCAGTGATTTTAGAAAGTTAGAAGTAGAAATGAAGAAAATAAATAAAAAACCAGACAATTTAGCTGTTGTTTGTGGTTCTAGAGCTCATTTAGAGGAAGATTCTATAGCACAGGTATGTGAAATAATAATATTTATATCAAGTGTAAATGTACAAAAATATGCAGTACTTCAGACATTTTTAAGTACTGTAAATTCAGAAATTTTTGAGAGGATTTTATGAAATGCGAATAATGCGTCTAGGGAAGTATAGCAATAATAAGAACTCGCATTCTGATATCTTATACATATATCTGTAAGCAGATTTTCCTGAAATTGCAATAATTAATCTCGCATATTTGTCCATTCTTCAAAAATAGCAATAATAAATGCATGCAATAATTTCTGAATTTACAGTAATGTGAATATGTTATTACTTTCTTTTTAAGTTTTAACTTTCATGATAAATCAAGATTTGATAATCAACACGATACATATTTTCGTTCTTTTCCATTGTTTGAAATGTTCAAGGTCTGAAACCTGAAAGAGAAAAGCCCTCAATCCTATGAATTTTAACAAACCATGAAAAACTGGCACATATGAATAGTAGTGCTTCAACTGAAAAAGGGTTTGATTTTGATTATTTTCTTTTTAACATTATTTTAGTTCCTTAAGCTTTAGTTTTTATTGTTGTTTTTTTAAAATTGTATAGCCATTTTAACAGCAAGTTATTACTCTCATATTAAAATCAGTTTTCATAACAATTGCTGTTAAATTCTAAACTTGCTTTTATAAAGCCTAGAAACCATATTGGTCAACAGGTGGAACTAGATTATTCTCCTACAATAGTGAATATAATTCGAGTTTTTATGTCCCACCTACGATAGTAGAGGGGCATTATGTTTTTTCATCTGTGCAACCATTCGTCCGTCCGTCTGTCTGTCCCGCTTCAGGTTAAAGTTTTTGGTTGCTTCAGGTTAATGTTTTTGGTCAAGGTAGTTTTTGATGAAGTTGAAGTCCAATCAACTTGAAACTTAGTACACATGTTCCCTATGATATGATCTTTCTAATTTTAATGCCAAATTAGAGTTTTGACCCCAATTTCACTGAACATAGAAAATGATAGTGCAAGTGGGGCATCCGTGTACTATGGACACATTCTTGTTCTAGTTTAAAAAAATATAAAAAAAAACTTTAAAACAAAAACAGTTGTTTTTTGATGTTTAAGATTTGTAAATATTTATTCAGATATTTAAATATAAACTGCAAAGCCTAATAAGTCTTATTGACACTTGATTACATTGTGATCCAAGTGAACGGGTTTGTTTTTATCATTACTATTTCATTCTTTAGTTGTTCCAAGATAAAGTAAAATGTCTTTGTTGTATTTTTTTTATTAAATTTAATATGAGTTGAATTGAACAATCCAATGTCACACCATTTGAATAGATTAAAATTAAAATGCAACAGTCAAGGGATCTACATACTGACAATTGCAAGATCTCAAGAAGTTTTCAGTTTAAACTGGCCAACTAATAGATATATGTAAAATATAGTCCAAATATTTTGTCATTATTTTAATGCAAAATAAGGTGACAAATCAAATAAATCTTTCATTACAAAAACAGTTTTGAAAATTAAATGGATTGCTGAAAAGGAAAAGAAAAATAAGATATTATGAGATTTATGTATTGGGTATTATGTGCTTAATTTCATTGTTTTATAAACAAAGAATAAATACAAAATTAGAAGCAAACAAAAATATTGAGAAGACAAAGAAGCCTACCAGTGCTGCTATGCTTTGATTGATACTAGTTACATTTGAATTAAAATAAAACCATAAAGGTCAACTTTTTTAGTGGACAACAAAATATATATATATGCATGCCAACTTCTTTACATCCTTTAAATAAAACACTTTTTATTTTTTTCAGAGATCCTTTTTCCGTACGATATTAATGAAAGGATTCCATTTTGTTGTATGGTTTCTATGTGTTCGAGGTATAAAAGACACACAATGTGGATTTAAGTTATTGACAAGAGAGGCAGCCATTTTATTATTTTCAAATTTACATGTAGAGAGATGGTAAGTAATAGAACGTCTGCAGCAATGGTGTTAACAGATAGTGTAGTATACAAAGTATCTTTCAGAATTAAAATGACAGTAAAAGTGAAATCAGACACATGATCTCACATATACAAATAAGGAGATGTGATATGATTGCCAATGAGAAAACTAATCAGCAGAGACCAAATGATTTTAGACGTCTTAAAAATGGATATATTGATGGATGTATGTTTAATGTCCAGTGTGTGATCTTTCTACCATATTTAGAACAATAATGTTTATGTGATACAACTATAAACCGTGATTTGGATTGGACTTGGACCAAATACTGAGTTGATTTAAAAATGCAAGACATAAGGTAGATGCAGTAGGGTATGTTAACTTACTCCGGCACAATATTCAGAGCTTGCATTTAGGTGCTGCCTGTTTTGACAGACACCCAGCAAAACCAAATTATAAGTCTTTGGTATTACCTAATAATTAGAAACTCATGATCTGCTGCCTTTAAGGGTATATATTTAGTTAGAATGATTGTTTATTCAACTGGCTTCCAGATTAACTGTGATGTTGACCATTTTAGATATATTCTAATACCATCTCTTTCAATATGGTGTCAATATCTTAATTCTTAAAAACAAGGTAAAAAATCACCATTAGTCAGATAAAAGATATGGAAATTTGAATGAGACAGTAACCACACAGCACAAAATACTAAAAAAGAAAGATTTCCACTTAAATTATTTATTTGTATACTAGTACATTAAAGAAACTAATTTGAACAACATGATGAAATTTATGATGTTTTCATTTCAGGGCATTTGATGTAGATATGTTATATTTAGCACAATATTTTAGTATACCAATAGCTGAAGTAGCAATAGTGTGGCAAGAAATAGAAGGTAAACTATATTTGCTGTAATGGTAAATAAATTGATACATTTTGATTATGTGTAGAATGCATTATATGCTTAAAGCTTTAAAGGATAGCGGATCCTTACTTTGTCTTTAACTGTACAGGGGACACAATGATAGTCTTAAATTCACTTGTATGGACTACAGATTCAAGAAACAGATTAATATTTTTTTGCAATTTTGAGGTGTTATACATATATGACTTAAGCTTGTATGCAGACTTTGGCAAAACAATGAAATCAAATACCGAAGATAATACAATTATTCCTCAATCCACATAAATTGGCATACACTAAAATAAAAAAAAAACACACTAGGTAGAGATTAGTACTAATATAATTCTTTTTTTTGTTGTACAGGTTCTAAGATGATTCCAGTATGGAGTTGGTTACAGATGGGTAGAGATCTCATATTAATAAGACTAAGATATTTGATAGGTGCATGGAAAATTAGGTCTGATGTTAAATCTTTATAGAACATTTTGTTATTACTTGTTAAAATGAATAAAATGGTTTGATTTAGTTAATTTATATGATTTATATGATTTATATTTTTGTTATCTCTTTTTTCAGTGAAATACAATCATGGTTGGTAAATCTCACCGAAGTTAGTTTCAACCCTTGGAATCTACACCCCTTTCAATATTTAACATGAATATATCAAAATCTATAAACTTTATAACTTTTTATATTTTATTTGAAAATCTGTATTGTAATTTGCATTGCAGATTAAAATAAGTTCTACATTTTGTATAATAGAAAAAGTTTTCCATTTTGATTTTATAAATAAACAGCCCCGGTTGACCTGGGGTCATTTGCATTTGGGGGAAAACGAGTCATTGGACATGGTGACATGAAGATTTTTGCTTTGTGACATCAAATTTTTCTGGGGAAAGATCACATTTTGTTATGCTTGAGGGACTTTTATTTTTAGCTCATGTTTCTTTGAATGCAATAGTTAGATAGGTTAAATGTTGTGCCTTAAAAAACAGGCGACTTTATATTAATAGGTTAAATGCAAATTGTTATCCCTCTAAGACACAATTAAAGTTTATATTTTAATAATTTTCAATGCATTTATCAATTTATTGTTTTATTGAACACTAAGGAAGCAAACTTTTTTTCTGTGTTTCTTGTTTCAACATTGATAGGTAAAGAGTGTTTTAATTAGAACAAACTAATATTAACAAATGGTATTTGTTGTCTGTTTTAAATCTTCTTCTGTGTCAGATTTATGATTGAATACATAAATATGGAACAAGATTAGAATTTGAAATATTAAAAAGCTTTTAATAACTTTATTAAGGCAATGATATTAGATATAGTTTAATTGATTGGTCAAATATTTATGTGAAGATACCCTTTACAGAATCAAATCCTGTTCATTAGAAAAATGACAGTTGTACTTCATTTGCATAGTTTTTTCAGAAAAAAATTCCTAATTAACAGCTTTTAGTCTAGTCAGATTTTAAAATTATAAACAAATTATATTATGGTATTTTGGTGCATTTATGTACAGTAAAATAATCATTTTAACAATTTCTTGCACACAGTTATATCATAACTATCCACCTTACAGACAGATCTATATATTACTTGTCTTTGCAACTTTTTTTTTAATTGCTAAAATTGAACTAGTTGTTTTTAGAAATCCAAAAGAAAAGATATTGATTTTATACAGGCTGTTAAGTTCTAAAAATAGAATATTTAGTTATGAATTCTTGTATATTTTTAGATATGTCATCTTTGGTTCAAATATTATTGCAATAGAACATTTAATTTGGTTCTTATAAAACATAATTATATTTGGGGTATTAAAGTATTTAAAGTTCTCTAATAAGTGGTTATTCCACTAATGTGTTTATTAGTTGTGAGTCAGTTTAATTATGATGAAGTACACACGCATTGTTATACTAAAGTTTATTTTTCTATTGATGATTGCTTCTGTTTGTATTTGATGTGAGTGAATTCTTTGAAATTTGTGTATTACTTTTTGTGTTCATGCACTACACATTTTATGCCATAAGGGTGTGTGAATTGCATATTATACATGTAGGTATACATGCATATCACATACTTTGTATTTTTCAAAAAAGGATGGCCATGCAATTTGAATATTTCTGATAATATCCTTTGGTGATTGCCACTGAATGCACTAATTTCTTTGACTTGTTAGGTTAAACATGTTTACTAAAGACAAATGTTTTGCTGAAAATATATTTGATTTTTTATGATTGAAAATTAGATATTATGTTAGTGATATTATAAAATTTGTAAGATATTTGAAAGGAATATCGATTACAAAATACAAGCACTTATAAAGCAAAAATCAAAAGAAATTTGCTCAATAAATCCTGTTACTTTTTAATTTCTTTCTCATGGTTTTTTATATAGTCATATTTTATTTGGATAATTTCTTAATATTTACAGAATATCTGTGATTTAACTTTTCTTAATCCAAAATAAAATAGTTATGAATCTATATATGAGATGTTGTTAGTACTTGAAGGAGATATTTGAGTGAAAATGATATGTACAATAAATAATTACTTTCTAAGACTTAAGTTTTTTATATGCCTTGTAGATGAATATCACATAGACTAACATTTCAAAGCAATAGGCAAAAAGGTTATTACAATACACAATTTATGATTTGTTCCAACTTGTTGCAGGACATCTAAATCAGGTTGATGTGATTTTTGGATAGGGAAGGTAACAACAGCAGAGTCCATACCTACAACATATACATGGAAAATGTCATTTCGTTGTTGAACAATATGTTGCTCCAGTAGAGTTACAAGGTCACATTAAAGAATTGCCTCAGGTCACCAGGTCACTTTAAACCAAATAAAACATTTAACAAAACGGTTTTGAACATTTTTAAAGGTCACAGCTTCTTTAAAATGAGATGTCTGATTGCAATGTCACAGGCGGGAGTTGATTATGTTGGAGCCACCAGTAATGTGATTATAAAATGATAAATAAAGACCTTATTAAATATATGGCAACGTAGTTTCTGCATGTTCTAAACTCTGTAATCACGTTGTAATATACAAACCAATAGAAAAATCTTAAGGAAATGCATTACCGGTAAACCAAAAATGCAGCAAGACTCTGGGCCTCTTTTCACAAAAAATTTTACGACACAAATTGATTGTGACTTATACTGAAATATTTATGACTTACAAGAAGATTTTTTGTGAAATGAGTGTTGACAGGTTTAATTTAAGGATAAGCCTATACTGGTGTCTTTCAGGAATTTACAGCTCCTGAAATACTTGCAGATACTGTAACTGGATTTATATTTAAAGCTTAATTGTTTTATACTAGTTTTTAGTCCCCTACCGACGAAGTCGAAAAGGACTTTAGGTTTGCACTCTGTCTGTCTGTCCATTAGTCAGTCAGGAAAATCAGTTTTCCACACTTTTTTCTTTGTGCTTAAAGATAGTGATTTGATATTTGGTATATAGTTTCATCATGACAAGTAACAGATCAAGTTCGAATTTTGTTCTGGTCTGATTATTTTGTCCAGAGTTATGGTCCTTGGACTAAGTAAATTTACTCAAATATTCAGTTTTCCGCAATTTTTTTAGTCATGCTTGAAGCTATTGATTTGATAATTGGTATAAAGTGTTATCATGACAAGTTACAGATCAAGTTAGAATTTTGTTCCGGTCTGATGATTTTGTGCAGAGTTATTGTCCTTGGACTGAGAAAACTCTCTCAAATGATCAGTTTTCTGCCCTTTTTTTTGGCCATGCTTGAAGATATTGATTTGATAATTGGTACCAGTATATAGTTTTATAATGACATTTTACAGATCAAGTTCAAATTTTGTTCTGGTCTGATGATTTTGTGCAGAGTTATGGTCCTTTGGACTTGGAAAATTCACTCAAATAATCAGTTTCCAAACTTTTCATCATGCTTGAAGATATTGACTTGATATTTGTGTTATAGTTTACACCATGACAAGTTATAGATCAAGTTGGCATTTTGTTCCAGTTGAATGAAATTTTAACCGGTAGGGGACTATGTTTTGCCATGCAATACTCTCAGAATGCTTGTTTATTTTAAGAGTTAATAGCCTCTTGCTTGATGTTTGTACACTCTGAGGCCACAAAAGTAAAACAAAAATATACAGCACTTAGAATTTTTTGCAGAATTGCTACATTGTTCAAGTTTAAAGTTTTATTATCATGAAACAAGTTGCAATTAAGTCATTAAGATCAATTCAGTCAGACTTCTAAATACATAAGTATCCTGGTCAATTTAGTAAACAACCTGCAACTAATTGCAACACAAAGTTTTTCTATGAAAAACAAGTTTGTTACAATATACCGGTATGAACAACATACTTAAAATCTACAAAAATATAATTTGCGGAAAGTGGTTTTATTAATCCACATACAAGTAAGGTTATCTGAGTTGTTTCCCTATATTTTGCAAAGTTGAAAAAAATTATTCATACAGAAACAGTCATGATGATAAGATATAACACACAATTTTCCAAATTTAAAAGAAAAGTATTAAAATTGAATCACTTTCCTCTCTCAAAATTTGTATATTTTAATAAAGCTATAGACCGGTTCTGCTATTTTAAAATCCAGGATTTTAATTCTCCAATAGCAGTGTATGATCTACAAACATTCCCATTTCACATCAGATTCAGATTACGTCTCAGTCCTTACAGCTGAAAGGACGTGCTGGATCAGCTCCTGACTATCCATTTTGGTCTCTGATGGATAGTTGTCTCATTGGCAACCATACTGTATCTCTTTATTTATACTATTAATACAAATAAATCTTTGAGATAATTTACGGTTAGTCTTATATTTATCTTCGAGTATCTTTGTGATTGTTTACATTCTACTCGCACTCATATTTGTATCAGGAATGATAAGCTATATCACTTGAATAGTAACCATTTTGTATTTATAATTTATTTTATATGATATGGCATGTACTTATTATGTTTATATGATTTGGAAAGATGCCAATTTCAAATGAAGCATACGTAGTCTAGGTTTGTTTATATAACTGGACTGGTGGATGTTCTAATATACAATTGACTCCACACTCGAAAATGAATTTTAAAGGAAAACAGATTTTTTTTTGTGTTACACACGAAATGATTAACATATTTGCCTTGCGAAAATACGTGTTTACCAACAAACCAATGTATAAAGGAACTACAAACACAAACATTTCCTTAATTTCATGAACAGCGAAGTTGGTGTGTTAATTAGTGCAATATACTTATATTTAGCGGTAAAAGAGTAGCGATTAGAGTTAAAATATAGAATTTCTGTCCGTGTATTTGGGGTAGTCTTATACATAAATCAATTTGGACTTACTGTTAAACAATATAACATATGAAAATATAGACACCTTTTTGCTTGATTGATATGGCGAGAGAATTTCTGTATCCAGATTTTTTCTATTTTCATGCCCCTACTGCAAGGGGAAAAGGGAGGGGGCATTATGTGTTAGTTTGGCCGACCTATTTTCGTTTAAAAAGCTAGCTTGAACGGGGACATTCGTGTCCTCAGACACATTCTTCTTTTATTTTCCTTTTTATTTCGCGATGTTTAAAAACATATAAAAAAGTTGTTTAACAAAAACATCCGAAGACACGATAGGATCCTATAGGCAAATAGATGTATAAACAATCATAATAAAAAAAAATTAATTATGTTTAATAAAAAATATATGATATTTCCCCAATAAAAGCAAATAATTACATAAAGGAAATAGGAAAAATTGAAACAAAGGAATATACTTTATATGGAATACATTTTTAAAAACACAATACAAATGAAAAACAAAAATGCAATCCACACGAACAAATCTGTTATAATAGTAGTCTCAGCTATTAGCCAGTTATTTAAAAAATGTCATAATTACATTCTTAAAATAACTCGTTATCGTGCAATGCCTGTAATAGATTTGTGCAAGTAGTCCAAATAGGAAAGTGGAACTAATTTATTAGGACAGAATCGCAATTTGAATATGTTAAAACATCAAAACCATTGCACAGATAACTTAATTATCTCTAAGAAGTACGAACAGACCATAGACAGACGGACTTGATTAAATAATACATTACCCAGCTTATTGCGATAACTGTTAAAATGAAAAAAAAATAATAAAAGCGAACTCAGGTTATTTGCCAATATCTTGAAATTGATATTGTTGAAACCGTATGTTGCCGTTTTGATGCGTTTTTGCCTTTTTGTGTCAAAAGTTGTACGTACATCAAATCAATGTTATTATCCCGAGTACAACTCAGTTTTTATGACGACTTTACTGCTTTAGACTAAATTTTATATAATTTTATTTTTATCTTTCATATAAAATTATACTATAATATATGAGAGAACTTAATTTTAATACAAACCTTTTAATAACAGGCAACCACGACTTCTTCAACCAATAAAATTGTCCTCAATGGTATAGCCGAAGTAGACGAATGTGACGTGAATCGTTAAAAAACAACTTACACTACAAATATAAACCCCAACTGTGAATACCGTAATCTTCTATTCTTTCTTTATCATCTCCCTTTATCAACGATAAAGTTTTTTTAAAATAACAATTTCCCTTCTTAATAAAATTTGATTGAAACTTGGGATTAGTATGGTATGGTGTGTTCTGTTACAACAGTTTGGTATTTATAAGTGACTGAAGAACATTTAACAATACAATCAGAATGTATGAAAGAACAATACTTCTTCCTACAAATATCTTAGTTATAGTGTTTATAAAATTCGTTTTACGCATTATTGTATAAAATAAATATTGTTCTTTCTTGTTTTACTAGACAAATAGATTTGAACATTTAAATAATTTATACAATGTATTCTTTTGTATTGTTTTAACAAGTCGTGGTAAGATTACATTTCTAGACAACATCTTAAAAACGGTAAAACAGAACAACATTCATCATTGTCCTGCTGTGAATCAACAATGTCATCTAATTTGTGCAGTTTGTTACTGTCTAATTCACATTGACACTGAGACCAGCAGTTGTTAAGAATATTTAATGCACGGACAAAAGCAACTGGTAACAAGTCTCAGTTGAAAAATACACGACATAGGAAAAAATGAAACAATTCCACAGAATACACCCTTTCTACAACCACATGCAAAATCCAAGCTTCCTGTGTCATAAATTTCTAACGATTCATTTCCCTTTTCTTGAATTTTTCTGATATCTTCTTCATAATGAATCACGTCATTTGTGGAGTCGTGTCCCAACAAGTTGTTGACACCAGCTGGAGTCTAAAAAGCGATCAAGACTGGTATTATCGATGGTAAAAAATCCTCTTTGTCTGTTCTTATATTACTGATTGTGTGAAGCAATACGACAATGTAGAACAATGTAAACAAACTTTTCATTATTAATTTCATCGCCTCGTTCCAAAGTGGAATAGTATGATCACATATTTGTTGAAATGTTGATACAGGCATTTCTTTGCAATCAGTTCCTTTCAAATACAAACATTTCATAAGAAGATTTTTGTACTTTGAGTGGTTTTCTGTTCAAAATACTTAG